ATTTTAAGATAGGATATACGGTGATTCATAAAGAAATCCATCAGTATCCTGTTTAGGCCGTGAATCATAATTTCATGCGATGTTGCACCGTCATCAGACGTGCTAAATGAAGGCCTCTCCAAGACTTCGCCATAGACTTTTTTTTGCCTTTTCTGTTAATCGTAATCGAGCGAACTGATTCTGCTATCTCTCTAGAGATTTTCGTAGTACCGTTTACTCTCTCTTGGAACCCAGTCTGAAAACATCTGGTGCAGCGATGATCGGTTGTTTTTGCACGGTGTTCCGCCCGTTGTCACTCCAAATTCTTCGTTCTTGGAGTAACTTCTCGAACTCTTGTTTGTGCTCTTACCAACTCATTCGTCTTCTGGTTTCTTGTCATTCCAAATACTCCTATCCATGCTGTGTTGCGTAGTCTGCAGTTTATGAATAGCTTTCAGGCGTAGGGTTCAAGGTTTCACATCCATATGTTACAGCTTGGAGCCCACAATGCTCGAGTACTTTTTGTTTTGCATATGAGATGTAAAATTCATGAAGATATGCGTACCGTTGTTTATCGAAAGTCGTTTTTGCACCCAAATTTCGTAGGATTTACTGGCTGTCTGAAATCCGAATCTACGCATTAAAGTGCTTCTATTGTTTGCCTTCCCTTCAGCCATATAGTTGCTACTCAGCGCTGACGACACTGTTATCCTGTTGTAGAATTGACGCGAACTCCAGCGTCGTACCTTCATTTTTCATGAATCTGTCTTTGCCGAAAAGAGCCTTAAAACCTATTCAACGAATGATTGTTGTTATTTTAATTTTCTGTCTTTAATTTGTTCCTATCCTTTTCATTTGCTTGTTGGAATTTAGAAAAATCTACTTCTACGAATAATAATCCATGGAAACCTGCAGAATCTGGTAAGTAGGCTTTTTGCAGTGATATGGCTAATTTACTTCGTGGAATCTGAAGTGCTTGAAGATGCGAACGAGATATATTCTGAGAGTGTCTGGCTGGACCATTTCGTATGCCGGCATACAATCGTAATTAATCGACTGAATTCATCGTAAGTTATGTGATTGTTGCCTTCTTATTATTGTTGCTTTTTCTTATCGTTGCCATTGATGGCGGATGCTGAACCAAATTTGAGGATCCTAAAATGGTATGAGATGCCTGAACGCATCGTTATCATTTTGGAAGATATACGTCCAGGAACTGTTTGGCTGTCAAAGTCGAGAGCTGAGTTTATTTCGTGAATCTTTCTTCTGCCTTTCTGAATACATATCCGAGCCATCGCGACTGTGATTTTTTGATTAGAAGGACCGCCTCCGCGCTCGGAGGCTTCGAGTGATTTTATTTCGAAGCTTGTTGAGCCTCGTTACACCAATTTTTGTCTAGCGAACATTAGAATATCACGGTTTCAAGTGATGACTGATTGTTTTGTTTAGGATTCAGTTTATCTGTGCTCAGATGGGAATTTCATACCGTGGTTTTCAGTCATTGGTTGAAAAACTATTATGGAATGCTAAGTAAGTTTTGTTTTTGATTGTGCCTCTGCACTCTTCATATTTTTGTTTTCTTGTTACGTATCAGCGCATTGTTATTTTATTTGTTTGTATGCAAGCTTTCTGCTCGTGATTCCCCGGTCTTTATTTTACTATCTGTTCAGTTTAAAGAGTAACAGACTTTATTTCGACCCTTTATCGCTCGTGAAGGTCTGGATACCGAGTACATCCCGTACATTGGTTTCTGTGACCCTTCATAAGAATGTCGTTCAGTAAGTCGGCTGTACCTGATAAATTTGGGATATGTTTGTTTTTTACGAGCAAAACAAGAATCTTAAATACCTCTCGATAAGCGATAGAAAAACGTCACTTAGTCAGCAGTGTAGTAAAGTTACTGTTGTGAATGTACTGACTGGCGGCCCTCTAATCGTTATAGGCATAATTCCACTTTACTGTTTGCACAGCGCTAAGGTGCATCTCCTTGCTGGTCGCGACTTGGGGCCAGTTAAGCAAACTCCGGCTTTACGATAATTCAGCGCCGTTAGTTCGTTTGTGCACATTACATGGCATTCAGTCCCTGAATAATCCAATTAAGATTCGAGAACTGATGTAGCATGTATTCTTTACCAGCTGCACAGAAAAGTGGGTCGCAACGTCATCAGTGTATTATTCAGCACATAACTTCGCTAGTCCGCCTTGCATGGTGTTAAGGCACCCTGTTATTTTTAGATGCTAATCAAGTCATTTACGTTGGCTATGATCGCGTGATGCTTCAGCACCGTACAGTTTATCGGTGCATCTCAAATAGATTTTACTGATCAGACAAGTATCCGGCTCATTAATGTTGATTGCTTACTAGCCATTGCTGATTGAGAGAAAAAAAAGCAAAAAAAGAAGGCAAGTAGTAGAATGTGATGACAAAGAATGCAA